AGGGCGAACTGCCAGTGTGGGGGCAAGGAAACTGGAGTAGGAGGGTGGAAAATTGGGTGAGAGCGAATGGGGGTAGATAGCGTACGATATAATTGAGCAAGGCGGCGGCGGCGACGGCGACGACGATGACGACGACGGTAGCGGAGAGAAGAGAACGTTTCGCGTGTTTGTTGTTTGTTTCGCGTGTCTTTTTAAGGCGGCAGCGGGGTGTGGAGCTACGATATCCACCGTGGTATTTTCCCACCACCCCATAGGGGTGTGCTGTCGGGCAATAAGTGCTGACATCTGCACTCTATGCTCGGTGCACTTGTGTTCTCGTCGCTGTGAGATACAGGCCGTGACGTTCTTCCGTCGTCATTGTCGCCGTCGGTAGCGTGTGAGTATGTGTGTGCGTGCGTGCATGCGTGCGTGTGAGAGTGCGTGTGGGGATGCGTGTGGGAGTGCGTGTAGGTGTGCGTGTGGAAGTGCGTGTGAACGTGTATGTGGATATTTAGCAAGTCCCTGAGCATCTCTATGTGTATCAGCACGTGTGTAGACGCGAGTGAAAGCGCGAGAGAAAGCGCGACATTGCGGAGGGTGTATTTACAGTCGCGCAAGGTTATTAGCCGACGTGATAGCGATCGGTATAGCCTTAACGCATCGGGTGCAACGGCCGCGCTCGTTTCCTTGGATAAACGTTCGCGGGGGAATTCCCCACGAAGCGAGTTAATTTACGTCGTTAGGCAGCGCGCGTTGCAACGTGCAAATCGCGAGCAATTTTTCCGCAGGAGCAGATGTTCCGCGTGGGACAACGGGTGCTTCTATCGGCAGCGCGCTCGAATTGGTTCGCCATCCTCGTTCCTGGCGGAACGCCAGGAACCGCGACGGAGGGGTCAGCCGAGAGGAAATTTGGTGAAACGTTTGCCAGGCGTGCTTAAGCAAATGATTGCTCTACAATGCATATTTCTTCGCGCGCGATCTCTCTCTCCTTCTCTCTATTTTTTTCATTTCGCGGGAATGAGTTCGTAAAGAGGGGAAAAGTGTCGGATGTTTACCACCAACACCTGTTGTGTGGCAGTGTTCTCGCAAATCATACTACTTATACATTAATTGCATGCTTGTTTTATTTGTAATTTTAATTGTAACATTTTGATCTTTAATTTTGTCGTCACGTAGAGTCGTAACATATTTTACGATATAACAATAAACGCCGTCTCCAGAGTGAATGTCGCGTCCACGAGCGATTGTCGGATAATCCGACACCCGTAATCTCCACGATGGAACTTTAATTGGGAGTTGGATCTTGAGTCAGCCCTTCATTCGTGGCGGGACGCCAGGGATTGCGCTGGGATGATTTACGGAAAGAAAATTTCGCTCGCGCTGCATCCGTTATCTATTCTTGTCGGTAATTTATTTTCGTCCCGGCGATTATTATGCCATATCTAGACGGGCTATTAAGAGCAACGAATTGCTTCCGCGTCGCAAACTGCGGTCTCCGTGTAAGCTTCTTCAAGAATCCGCATTATGAAATTTTGGCTCTTCGATCACGCGCTCCGAAGATAATCCCGTCTTTATTGTCTAGCATATTCGACGGAATGAAAAGAATGGATTTTAATGGACCGGTTGCTTCTTCGTTCAATCTATATCGTGAGAAAAACGACCTCTTGTGGAAGAATATGTTGGAAAAGTGCCATGAAAAATTCGCAACGGACAAAAGTCTGACAGACAAAAGTCGTGTATGAAATATGGACGCATTTAAATATGTCAAATGAGACACGCTCACACGAATTTATGATGCATTTTTGTCAAATAGCAAGTACTTCGTACTATTAAATGAATATTAACATTCATCAACAACGCGGCTATTTATCTCGAGGAATGATCTTAATAAGCTCATTTAACTTTAGGTTAATCTCTTGGATCTTTTTGAGCAGACTTAATTAATAAGCACAGCGTTTTCCGTTTATGCCTTTTGCGATTTGCTCGCCGCGTTTTCCTTTTTCGCCCAAGACAGCGAAGTATCGACTTCGTAGTCGTAGATATAAAAGTTTTGAATTATGCGTCTCTCCAAGAGTTATCGCGCTTTATCGTCGTTGTAACAGATGGCTGCAAAAGTTTCGTCGATCCGCCGCGTAACCGCGTTATTTTTCCAACAACCCAAAGCAGTCCCACGACATTATAATGTCTGTCTGTGTTGTTACGTTTGAAATGCTCGCGCGACTCTATACAGACCGGTTTGGAGAGTTATCGTCCATCTCTGGTAACTTTCGAAAGTACACTCGACAGCGGAACAGATACAACACTTTTTTCTCCCCAGTGAAGTTAGTAACTCACCTAGTTGCCACATTTCAGAATTTCGGATTTGCGCGATAAGCGGTTATGACAGCAGATGAAATGACAGCATGTGGTATAAATGAATAACGTGATATATAATAATGATAATACAATATGAAAACGTATTAGTACATGCGAGAATATTCCGAGTAAAACCGCTGCAATAATGGCGCTCGAAGAATTAAAGAATGCTCCGAATATAAAAGAGGCATCCGACAGCACAACTTAAATTGAAAATCAGGGAAAGGATGTGAGTATGACAGTAACGCGAGAAAGAAAGAAAGAGAGAGAGAGGGGGAGAGGAAAAGGGAGAACGAGAAAGAAAGTTCTCACATTACTATCATACTTGCATTTCTTTGGATTTTCAGATTATATCGTCAGATATCTTTTATATTGAAGCACAAGATTATACAATACTTTGAGCATCATTATACTGTATATATATATAAATGTGTTATTTGGGCTAAATCGCTTTTTTTCACATTTCCATGTTTCAAGTTACGTCATTTAATATGTTTAAACGTATTAAATTATAATTTACACGTCTTTTAACACATACACGCATAATTGGATTTGTTGTATATTGCAACAAATAATTCGTTAGTTTAATTCGGAATATTCTCGGATGTATTAGCATTTTTTACTCAATAAAATTTATTTTCACAGCACGTATTGGTTAGCTTTTTGGTTCTGACATAACCGATCACCGCGAGCAGTGATATTCAGATGTGACAATTACAAATATACTAATTTCTAGAAAACAATTGTGTTCAAGTCGTTTTGCTCTTGACTGTACGTCCGTAAATAATTTTTCTCGTGTCTTCGTCAGACGCGCTCCTACCCGAGGTAATATCGTTACGGCCTTGCGTTTACGTTATCGATAGTTCAGGAAACTGGTTGCGAATGGCACATCAAGGGATTATCTTATTTTCGTCGCCGGCTGCCAGACGGCGATGTCGTCGTGGGAGTTGAAAAAAGTTTGAAAAACGCGTGAAAAATTCGTCGTGTCGTGAAAGAAAGATATAATTCTTACGGGCGCAAATGCACGCCTCTTATTTAACGCTATGTTTTTCTACGTGCTGGAATTCTGAGATTATTTATGGAATACTTGCCGAAGGGTGCAGAGATCCACATAGCCACTCGAATGTCTCCGTCACGCTTGGGGGTTGGACGATGACTCTCATACCGCATAAATTAAGTGTAATGACGGGGGCTTTAGGGAGACGCTCTCTGACGAGGGTCGCGTAGGGCTTCGGAAGAACCGTTGACGTAGTCGACACTTTCGATTTAACAAAAACGTGTCTGTGATATCGCGAGAGAGATATTGAGGAAAAAAACATGATGTATACGGGACTTGCGGACCAGTATTTCTCGGACTTGGATCCAAACTCCGATGGCCCGCCTCGAGCAGTCGATCCAGCTGTCCGTGCTCGCAAACTCGTAAGTAACAGAAATTTACCAAGAAAGTTTATCCGATTGTGCGGCAACTACGTAGCTCGTTAAGTGAAGGGCGACGTTCATTTGATGGAATTTCCTTCGCGTAATGGATTTTAAAGCAAAAGTAGTGCCTGAGTGCTAATAATACTGATATTTAAATCTGGATATTTTTATCTGTTTTGGTATCTAAATACGAATATTTAAATTTTCAATATAAAACATACATACGTACACTGCATGTATACATACTTTCTTGGAGTGAATCAGTAAAAATATTTCTAATTGAATTAGTAAAAGAATTATTTCACCGATGATCAGTAGCTATTCACGGATTTTCAATTCAGACCACTCTCACTTTACTGCTCCGTCTTATATCTCATCGATTCTAACCAATGGAAATAAGATTTCATTGCAAGATTTCTAGTACATAAATCCGTTTTGTCGAATCCAACTTTTTGCGTTTAGGGCGATGGAATTAGTGGCTTCCACGCGATTTGCGTGCAATGACATTGCCTATGTTTGCAAATTGCATCAAGGATAGAAAGTAGCTTCTATTAACTGATTCCTTCAGTGAAATTTTACAAATTACAGTGCTATACTTATAACTGTGAACCACCATTAGTTATAACTATAGAATTTCAGTGAATAATACATTGATTGTATTTTAAAGAGCATGTTCTATATTGAAAGTTGAAATATATTTATATTTAAAAAACAAAACAATAAGAATGCGCAGAGATAGTTACCAGTTATCACACTGAGAAAAAATATTTGAAAATTTATTTATGGGATATAAAGTGAACATACGTTTTATATCTCATAGATAAAGTTCCATGTATCTTTTTCTCAGTGTACGCTGAGAGGAGAAAATATTTGCAAATTTATTTGTGGGATATAAAGTTTATTTTATTTGTGTGAAATAAAACTTATTTTTGCGAAATAAGTTTTATTTCTACGAAATAAACTTTTACTCTATAAATAAATTTTCGTATATTTTCTTCTCAGTGTAGTGTCCATTGGTATTATTTTTACCTCGCGGCTTTCGATCATTCTATTGCGATTCATAGCTTTCCGTAATTAAGATGAGAAATATTACAGAGACGTGCAAAAATGTCACGATACGTATGAGATAATCAAGTGTCATAATGTGCTGCTGTATATGACATAGTATTGACTTGTGTCAATGCGACAGTTACGGCGGCTTTCAACGTACGAAAGAGCTGATTGCGGCTATTGCGCGCACGTTTAAAATGGTCCGAAAACCACCGTTAATTAACCGCTGATTGTACTGCGTTTCCTGTGTCCGCTACCGATCGCTTCATCAGCCGATAATCGTGTTTCGATCGGCCACGTGATGTAACGTATTTAAATACTATTTTTTGTGCGGAAGGTATGCTTTTTTATTCGCAGGCTGCACCTCTCTGTTTGTATTCCCAGAGCACGTCCGAGCGGAACCGTAACGTTAATGACTGTATTGCGTTATTATTGCCGATCTTCCTCCTCCTGTCTTTCGCGACATTTGTTAGTGTCCTCGCAAAGGGACGGTTTACCTTGTCGCGAGCTTAATTGGCATTGCGCGTAATCGTGAAAGTATGTTAATGAACGAACGTTAATTTTATTAACGCGCTCTCTTTTGCCGTCCACACGCACACGGCAGAAAGAGAGAGGGTGCCTTTGATCGAGGATTTACATTGCGCGGAAAAATCGAGAGAACGTCTAAGAAGCGCGTTTACTTTCGAGGGGGATGCGTGACAAGAGGGATTATAACGAGTTGTCGTGCTTTCGCTAAGCTGAAATATGGGGGTTCTGCGCTGTTTCAAGCTGTTCTTCAGCTCGCGCGACATTGGAAATAATGCGTATGGAGGGGCGCGTGATGTATAAATATACCCCTTGACATTTTCCTCCCTGACGCTCCGTTGTGTATTTTTCATATATCCGCGCGCCCGTTCGAACGGCGAAGCGAAATTAATTTGCAAGGTAACGCTGTGAAGCAAACTTCGCTTCGATGCTATCTCGCAACGTGATATATTTGCTGCTATATCTCTTGAATTTGAAATTAAAACCCTCGTTACCAGATATATTCTCGCCGTATAAATAAGAGATATATAATTGGACTAGAGTACGCGCGGACATTACTTTCATTGGCACGTAAATGCGTTTGCAAAATCCTCGCATATTTAAAACATGTCAAATATTTTTTCAAGTAAAAGAATTTTACGTTTTAATAAGTAAAACGGTTTCACCGTGCGCCATGAGGTAAAAATATAAATGTTTAGACCCGTACTTCCTGAACATTCTTATTATTTTAACCTTTAAATACGAATATTTAAACTTTTAACACCGAGTATACAGAGTGTCTGACGATAAAACTCTCTCGTGTACGTGTAGATTGGGTTAAATTAAATGAAAAAACTCCTCTATCGTTTACCAAACAACTACGTAAAAATTTGAATTACTAATTAAAGAGGATTGCTGAATAATCGCGCATGGTCGTTCACCAATCTTCTTTAACCTTAAGATCCACACTTTCAAAGAATTACGGACTTGCCATATTGGAATAATGGCTACCCCACATCATGTATTTCGTTATAACTTCCACAAAAGTCAACCGATTTCAAAAAAAATTATTTTTCCATCAAAAAGCGAGACTTTAGGAAATTCGTCTATGTATAGAGAAATATGAAAAAGACATAGTTTAGAATATATTTGCTTGTAAAAAAGTTTACACTCGAAAAAACGCTTTTTTGAAAAATAAGTTATAATTTTTTTCTAATAAAAATAATATACAAATCTGCTTACAGATTCTGAAGTTGCAATGATAAGAAAAAAACTTGAGAAGTACAGATTCCAATGTAAAGAGTAAAACTGCAAAGGGTCGATATTGATGATTTTGCATTTCTTACATTCCGTGCACGGTGTGAAATTCCGTATAAAACTTTCGTTTTATTTTATTTTCTTTATATTTTTTCGATATATCCGATAACGAGGGTTTTAATTTCACACTCAAAAAATGTAATCACGACTCCGTTGCAAAATAAATAACATCGAAGCAAAATATTTCTTCACGTCAGTATTACCTTGCAAATTAATTTCGCTCCGCCATACTGTAGTCAAAACGACCGAAAACGTGGCATAAATTCTGTACATGCTCAGATCATTCTAAATCATTATACATAACTTAAATTTATTGTTTTTTCGATAATTATGATGAAATTTAATATTGTATAGCAATAATTCTAATTGTACAGGGTGATCGGAAACAATCACACTCGATTAATATTATCGTATTTTTTAACGAATTTTACTTTACCTCTTGCAAGATGTTATTCGAAACTTAGTTGTTCGAGCTATAAATAGTTAGCTTTTTATGGGTCAGATGCGAATAATAGGCATAGGCGGCACAATTTACTGTCAGACGTAGACGTTGCGTAATACACATGTGACAATATTCATACATCTTAGTTTGAAAACTTTTAATGTTAATGTAATTGTACACATTAGTAAATAAATTATTTTAACTTAGTTGAATATATGATTTTAACGTAACGTGTAAGAATGAAATAGTCGATTGCAAGCAAGCGAGCGATACATTCATATGTACATCGGTGAGATACGCAAAATAACGAGACCGATTAGAAAATTCTAAGAGAGGTTGCGAATCACGGTATTCACTGTAAGACGCGAATAAACATCATATCTTTAATCTTCGTTTTCGTGAATTACGCCTGCCACGAAAGAAACATTCATAATTCGCGATCAAATCGGATGTAATAAACTGGAAAGAAACATAAACTCGGTAATGTTACAGGAACGAAGGCGCGCAGCATTAAAAACTGTCATTTTCAAGATAAACAATTTTTACAAAGGAATACGAATTCGTCAATTTTCTCAAATGTAAAAATACTTTGTATGATTAATTCGTTCTTTTTGTGCTTATTTTTAAAGTTTCTTGTATTTGAAAAGTTTATATTGCATTTATGACAAGTTCGCGTACGCGAACGCAATCAACTATTTCATCTTTATACCTTATGTTATAATCATATATATTCAACTAAGTTAAAATAATTTATTTACTATTACACAATTACATTGACATTGAAAGTTTTCGTACTAAAATGTATGAATATTATCACATATGTATTGTCCAACATCTATGTCTGACGATGAATTGTGCCGCCACTGCCTACTTTACGTATCTGGCTCGTGAGAGGCTAACTATTTATCTTTATAGTTTAGCAACTAAATCTTGGATAACAAGAGAAAAAAATAGTTTTAGAATTCGCTAAAAAATACGATAATATTAATTAAATGCGATTGTTTCCGATTACTCTGTATAATAAAAGATATAAAGTACAAAATACGAATACTATATTTATCAAAAAAAGAGCAACAGCGAAAATACAAAGCGATTTTATATAAAGAAGCGAATTGAAGCATTGTACATATTACTAAATCATTAAAATTGCGAATTAAATATAAATAATGGGAAAATTATCAAGAACAAACAAATATAGTGCTTGTATCAGGAAAGAAATTACTGAATACATTCATTTCAATGACATAAATGGTTTATTAATATATATAAGTTATAATTTATTAGTTAAGTTATTATTAATTCATAAATTTAGAGTTTAATTATTTATTATTAATTTATTATTTATTATTTATAGTTTAATTATTTATTATTAAAATACATAAATTTATAGTTTAATTATTTCGTCTCTTTATTTAGTTGAGTAATGTCGTGTGTTTTAGTAGCGAAACGAGTTTCGCTTCTTGTTTGCATTATTTTTCTGTTATAATTAATTGATATTAACATATATTTATGTATAATATTAGATTAGGTTAAGTTATGCTATGTTCTATGCATATAAAATGCTTAGGATTAAATTCTGTGAGGCTATGTTTCTTTGCGTCAATATTTACGTCAATATTAACGTACAAATAAGAAAACGCAAAATATACTTACTTGTAAGAAAATCACCGTGGTCACCACACTTATTTATTATATAACTATATTATTATTTTACTTCCAGATCCTTTTTGATTGAACACTATTCGGACGTTGGTAAGCAACTGAATCAAATGAATGCAGCTACATCATGGATGTAAGAATATATGGACGGAGTCCAAAGTACGGTTATAACGAGGAGCTATGAAATCTAAGAGGCAAGAGGAGTATATTATCGCGATCATGCTGACACAGGAGTTTTGTATTTATTTTCACTGTGTCAAAATAGCGATCGTCGCTATCTTGGTCGCTATCAGCTCTATTACAATACATACAATCATTTCCCTCACTCCTTGGGCTTCACCTCCACGACAATATGCTCCGTCCATGTATTCTTACGTTTATGAACTACATTTTCAAAAAGATCTTAGGCAAGAATGCCGATTCAGTTACATTTGCAGCACGCTGACAGCGTGTAGAAGGGATGGTTCCCATGTATGCGTGTTCTGTCCGTGTGCGCCTCTCACTTCAGCTACACTTCAGCCGAAGTGAGAGGCTCATACGGACAGAACACGCATACATGAGAGCCATTCCTTCTACGCGCTGTCAGCGTACTGCAAATGTAACTGAATCGGCATCCCTGGTCTCAGATAGTAATGTACACGGCTGCCAACCTCGCAGTTGATAATTATTAAAATAGTAGACTCGCAATGTTTTACTTAGGATAAAATTTACCTCAGTGGGTTAACCTGGGGTTAAGTAATAACTAAAAAATCTATATGATTATTTGCAAAATAGTAGAGAATTTTTTTTCTTCAGTTTGATTTAACAAACAATTTAAGTTTGATTGTACGTACAGTCACATATTGTGCCGCACCACGCGCGATCATTCGCCAATTTTCCTTAAATAATAATTCAAAAGTCTATATGGTTGTTTGCTAAATGGTAGGGATATTTTTTATCCAATTTGACCTATAATCTACACGTACGTATCATATTATCAAACACCTGTATACGTGCGTTCTGTGTTGAAAGTTTAAATATTCGTATTTAAAGACCAAAATAACAAGAATGTCTACAGTTACGTACTGAACTTACCCACATTGGTACTTTTGCCTTAATGGCCATGACATCCGTCTATCATTTTCACGTGACTTGCGGACGCTCGGTATGAAGCTGAATTAAGCACAGAATTTCCGAAACGTCCAGCTCAATCGGCGTCTTTCAATCGACGTCACGTACATTTACTTTGTACATGGCTTATCCGCGTCTCGGCCGAGGTTTAGCTCGTCGGGATAGTTTGCGTGCACGTGTAGATAGTCGAAATCGCCACGGCTGAATTTCATTCGTGCATGGAATGACAGGATGGTTTATCTCGCGGGCGTAATGTCTAGCTAAGCGCGATGCCTTCCCGACTGCCGGGCCAGACTACAGGTATAGACGCGCGGTTAAGGTATACGCCGTATTGACCGGGCGCTCTTGCCTTGCTGCAGCAACCTCGGTACCTACCTACCTATCTATCTAGCAGCCAACCTACGTGCAAAGTCTGCAAATGGATTTTTCGGACGTGTCTCGGACCGTGTTGTGGGAAAGGTATATTCTCGTCGTCGAAAAGGCTAACTCGATAGGTCTCTCGAAGAAATCCCATGTCACAACATAGGTTCTGTCTGTCGAGCATATATACAGTATCGCGGGTCGCTTCGATAGAGGGGTCGTTGAAGTCCTTCATCTTTTATTTCGCGTACGAACCGGACACGTCTTTTTTGCGTTTAATATTTATGGAATTGCGCGTGCGCATGAGCTTAAAGACGATAGCGCGAGATCGTGCCAAACGCCAGTCACGAAATCCGATCTAATCGCGATTCCATTCATCACGGAGCTTTTCTTTACGTCGTGCTGGAGGAGGAGGAGGAGGGGAGGGAGGAGGAGGAGGGTTGATACGGACAAGAAATAACCTTAAATACCCCTTATTTCAGCCGTCGCGTTTGTCTCTCTGCATTTCAGGTGGGCATGGAACGTCGTGACGTCATACTGACAGCAGTTTTCGGAACACTCGGAGCTCTCGCAATTCTAGTAGGCCTCGCATTTGCAATGTGGCTCTATCTCCGTGCCAGGAAGTCCAAGCAGCGGGACGACGATCTCGAGGAGCAGAACGACAACGGCGATGGCTCAAGCCAACAGCAACAACCCATCAAGAAGAATGGCTTCTTGAACTTGAAGACACCTCTGATCAGCACGAAAGCTCTTGGGTGAGTGAGTGGTGTTTTATTTATTTTTCATCCCGTGGGCGCCTGTGCTGAAACAGCTGCGCGATCGTTGCTTTTACGATCTGCTCGCCCGGCTCTTTTCCCGAGAGAGCTCACTCGGAACCGCGAAAAAGGACGACTGTTTGTATCGCGACGCGATACGTTAGTCTCGCAAACACGTGCGGCTTTTCCTTTTCGGAGTTACCGATGTAAATCGCGGCAGTTAATGGCGTTGGCGCAGTTTTGAAGTTGACATGCGAAGAGCCAACAATACGCGCGAAACTACGTGAGTTCGGGGACTCCAATGGAGCGTGAGAGCCGCGATTGCGTTCAAGCGATTCGCGTGCCCCCGTTTGTCGTTTCTTCGGTCTCGGCAGATGTAGCGATGTGCTCGTAACTTGTGCACAAGTACCACTAATATGGAGCCATATCTCTTCGGGCCGACTAAGAACGTCGCTCGCGCCGGCCGAAAGCGTGCGAATACCTTGTCTCGCCATTATTCCCAGTCCCGCGACTTCGGCGAGCAATAACACTCTGATGACTCACGGTGAGATTTTAATCGGCGAAATTAATGAGGCCAGGATTCCTCAAGGAAGGAACGCCGCTTTCCTCTTCGCGCGATTCGTCATCGAGCGCATTTTACCTGTCGAGCTTGCAACGTCGCATGAGCGCCGCAAGCTCTACTCACGACGGGATACTTCTCGCGAAGTAGCGGTAGCACGAGTGTAGTCAGACACGGGAGGTAACGGCGACGGGTTGCCGACGGTAGTCGGTAAGTCCCGTCGTCGGCAAAATTCTGGTTATCGACTAGAGAGAGAGAGGGTTTTGCCGCAGCGGAGACAGCGAACTTCATCGCGGAATTCGAATAACAGGAATCTGCAAAATGCGCCGTATCAGTGGAATGTTTATTGACGGACGTCATTGTATCGCCGAACGATACTCGAGCTTCTCCCGATGAGGGCCGTTCGTTACCGTCATTAGCTCTGAGGACAATTGAGTTACGTGCGTTGCGTGTTACGTGCAACGCGCGTTGCGTGCATTGCGCGTTGTGTTGCGCGTGTGCTCGTGCGATATCCCTTACAGAGAGCTCTATTCAATTCGAGGAATTTTTAATGCACCGTAACTTCGCAAGCCACACTCCCGCGCGATCAATACTTCTAATCGAGACCGGAGTTCTCGACGCATACCTTTTTACACACCAGTTCCGCAAGTTTGTGCTTTGCGAACGAGGTGCGAGGGTTGTGCAAAATTCGCGTGCCCTTCCACAGGCGCTTCAACGAAATACACCCGCTTTAAGATCGATCTCATTAATTCTGCGCTCTTAATTAGGCGATGCTCGTTGTGCGAAAGCTTTTCGTTGTATCTGCAGCCCTGAATCTATTTCTCCGTGTATATCTCCGACAACTTCCCGTGATTCCGTCCTTTGGTAAATAGAGCTGGAATTATTTCAGCGCGTATATGCGACGGAATACGTGAAAGAATCGTTAAGTCAACGATTTGCACAACGTGTTTTCTCTTCTCATTCCCACGAATTTCTGTTTATTTTTCCTCTCCGTAAGATGCGTATGTCGAGCGGTAAATGATTGACAAACAAAACAGAAATCCCATCAACCCGCAATATCGCCGTGTAACAATAAACCGCGTAACAATTCAATTTTCTGATTTTCAAGCATACAAACTGTTCAGCGGGCGTCGATATCCGTGGAAACGTCCGAGATTTCCAAACATTAAATTCTTTATGACGTTAAACATTAAGACATTTCTACGGTTGTTTTTATTCTTGACGAAATGATGGTGCTTGGCGACAAGCGACATAACTTCCGTTTATGTGTGTATAAGTACTTCAATAAAACAAATCTTTTCTCTCAACGCGACAACAAAGTTTTATTTAGTTGCAAAATACGTTGCCCGGTGTCGACCGTTAAAAATAAGAAATGTTCGACATTTTGACCTAATTCCACGGACAGAAATGTAGAGAGAAAAGGGCGAAACAAAAAACTTTTTCCTCTCACAAAATGTTCTCTCTTACATTGTGTCACAAATCTATGAGGACTATTCATACTTTTACGAAAGAGCTATGTTCCCAATCGATCGTACGTATACAAGAATGATCTAACCCACACATAAAGTACATTTTGAAAAAAATAAAGATAAAACATTGAAACATGTTTGAAAAGGTACAGTCAGTACTGAGATTTTTCGTTCAGGAAGTCAAGCATGATCAATTTCTTCATTTTTAAGGATGTTCATTAACTCTTAACTTAAACTCTTCACAACTTCTAACTTAATGATAAGTAAGAAAAACACAATTAGTAAAAAACGGCAGAACTAGTAAAAAGTAAGTGTTTTTTGATTAATTTTAAGTCCCTAAAGTTTGAATCGTTGTTCTTTTATGTAGAGAGATGTATAGACCAGCTATTTTGGTAACAAAAACTAAAAGAAAAATTATCTTGTATGGGTTGCATCATTCTATGACCAATTATAAATTCTCATTGATTAATGGGTATCCGTTTTACGAACAATATCCACGAGAAATCACATCCGGGAGTCCGGGAAGGAGACAATGACACGCTCTAATCACTTCGGCGATTCAATTATCGAGAAATTTGCACGCAGATAGGAAGCACGTAACTGTGGAATATTCCGCGCGATAGCGGACAAAAACAATAGAGACGGCAATATACAATTTTCAATGGCTGTCGGAGATTGCGGCCCCGAGAGAGAGCGCGTGCGTTTAGAAATGCGTCGTGAAGTTATATCCCCGTGCTTTTCAGCGCGAATCGCGACGGAACAAAACGAGCCGTATGAATAGAGAGAAAGAGAGAAAGAGAAAGAAAGTGAGAGAAAGAGAGAGAGAGTGAGAAGGGGGAGGGAGGGAGGGAGAGCTCGAAGGGACGACTTCGGGTACAGTTGACCGAAAATCGTTTGTAAATTTTCTAATTCGGAGCACAAACACGCACGCACTCAGAGAGACACATCTACACATAGGGGGATTAACTAACCAATGAGAACCGATGTTTTCCCGTGTTCTTTTGACGCTCCATATTCATGAACGGAAAATAGGGTCGAGCGGTGGTGTCGCGCGGTATCGCGCGAAATGTCTCCGGGCTGCAGGGAAATCAAGGGAACACAGTGATTTATCCACACGGTGTGAACAGTATAGTGAGTCGGTGTTTAGACGAAGTTCCGCTGGTATGGTTGTTAGTCCCGGACTCCGGAGACCGAAACTTAGGCGAGCGTCATACGCCGCCTGAATTATCGTTTCGCTTAAATTGACACGCCGAGCGAGTCCGGCGGAGTTACTCACGGATCTCCGCTTCCTCTCGTGGGCCGCGGGAACTTTCGTTATCGCGGGTTTGCAAAATTTTCCACCGGCACGATCGCGCGGAAGAACGGATGAACGGGCGCAGCCGGACGGAGGCGCGAGTTCTACAAGGATTCTCCGCGAGAACGAATTCGCGCGAGAGTAATCTATTAGCCGTAAGCCCCCATAGCGTTTTATCGCGCCGCGCTTGTCCGTTGCTCGCAAGAATGGAAACGGCGGGTGCATTCGAACGAAACTTTTTCCACGGGAGAGCGGCCGAACAGTTCTGCATTCAGCGGCGCCGAACGGAAAACAAGTCCCTTCTGGTACCGGCTGCAAAACTCCATCGGACGAATTTGTCGCGTTTTTTCCGACCCTTTTCTGCTTTTTTCCTTTTTTTACCAAGTTCTCTTTACAGAGCGCCATATACAGCGTGAGTGTGGCAGACGTGTAGTCGCCCTCGGTAGGTACGCTCAAGAGAATGGTCCTGCAGTCATAGCGAAAATTGTCTAGACACGAGAAATTGAGGCTGAGGTCGATAAATGTCTAGCAAACACCGCGATATCGTACATGTTTTGTATTTGATTAATCGGGATGACACAGTCTCTGTCTGAACTACTTGTGATATTTAACTAGCGAAAAAGTCTCTCTCTGTGCTTTCCACCCAGATTGAAGACAGCTACTCTTCTTAGAACAGTGACTGCGGTAGATAAAAAAGACGAAAAACGAGAGACAAAAGACTAGCGACGACTAGAGACAAACGAATGTATAGTCCTCGTACTCAGCTAAATTTGCCTGTGGATATCGTTAGAATGCTGCTGCTGCTACTGTTGTAAATTCTACATACCACAGACAATTTCCTAGGAGGATAAAATAAACAGCGATAGATTTTATCTGTAACATTCAGAATTCTACTTGAATCAGAATAAAACATTTTTGAGTGTAGTAGCCAGATAGGTATATAGGTGCTCACATCTATCGATTCGCCTCTCTATTTGAAAATAGACCCGTAACTTCCGTCGCCAGTAGTTTCGTAAGCTGCTCTTGTGACGACCACTAAGACGCTTCACGCTGTCGCTCGCGGCCCGAGTCGTCAACTCCAGTTCACAGCAGCGTTGTTACAAAAGGGGAGAGTTATAAGTCTGCTCACACATCGACGTTTACGTCGATAGAATCAAACTTCGCGACAAGACTCTGCGATTGCGCAATCTTGTAACCTCCAAAATTAATTGATGAATTCATAGATAATTTGTGGGTAGGTGAGAGAGAAACAGAGACAGAGATAGATAGAGAGAGAGAGAGAGAGAGAGAGAGAGAGAGAGAGAGAGAATCGTGAAAGAAAGAGTTGCCAAATTGAATAGTCGATTTTGTATGGAAATTTGGCCGTATTTTTTGCGGACGTCTTGTATTTGTCGTTTGCCACTCTTGAACTTTATTCACAACTGGGTAAGTCGCGCTAAAGTTATCTGAAGCATTCTGCTCGTATCGCGCGACTCACACACGCGTCTAACTCAAATATGCAGTTTACACGAAAGACAAATTCAGGCCACGCGAAATGCATTAAGATATCTAAGGTTTTTTGCACTACCAAAACGTGCAAGAGCGAAAACGTTCGCGAGACATGCGCGACATTTTGGCTCGCGATAAGCTCCCCCCACCTGTGACCCACAGTCGACGTTATTTCCAGCCGTACGTTTAA